GCCAAATGTCTCATTTTTGGCAAGCCTCTAATACCCTCAGTCATTATTCTCGTCTAGACAGACCCGAGCTCTCCTGTCGCCCGACTAATGAGGATAACTACTCCCTGATAGATATTGTTTTCGAAAAAGCACCTTTCGAGCACCTTCTTCAGATACAAATGGGCATCAAGTAGTTTGGTTTTAGGATATATTATGGTAATGTATACGAAGGATATTCCACATCTATCATCTGCTTAAGAACCACATATTAATTAAGAGTGTGATCAATATTCAAAGCCATATTTACTTGTCGTTTCCCCTCACCTCAGCTGCTCGCAATTAACGAGGGGGAAAGTGAAAAAAGCCCGGTGTGGCGAAACGGTAAAATGCAGTTCAAATAAGGGCAGCCGGCGGTTTTTCGGTAAGGTAGCAGTTATCCTGCAGATGCATTGCACAACTGCCCTCGAACAGTCGTTTTTCCACTCAATTAGGGTAGCAAAAAATACAGCGCATACAGCACATTTGCCTAACTTCATATACTGTATACTGTATGTTTTTCGAAACCAACAGAGAAAAACAGGAGAATTTGGTGTAGCATATGTGACGGCGTGCGGCGCAGTTGTTGTCCTGCCGAGGAGCATTGTTAATCGTATCCTGCGTAATAGCATAATAATCCCTAATCGCATCTGATCTGTTCACCTGGTTGTCACACTCTCCCATTCGCTCCTTTTCTATCGGCAAGCCGGCTGCACAATTCCCATTCGCGTTTTGGCTTCCATCGATCTGTGTCCTTTGTGTGCCTTTGTCGCCGAGTGTCCTTTTTTACCCTAACTGGGTAACAGTAACAGGGGCTGGGGTTATTTTGACAGCAGTTCATTTGCCTTCTGCCGCTGTTTTCACTGCCGCTTCGGTTTCAGCTCCCGACTCCCTGATCCCCGTTTGGTTTTCAGTTTGGCCCTTCTCTGAAAGCCGATTTCGCAGTTGGTTTTATAAACTAGCTGATCTTGGATGAGCCTATATTTTTAAATATTTTACTTTATTTTTTTTACTATTTTACTAAAGCAATCTACTTGAAACCTAATTGTATCTGAAGAATATCAAATATTGATCACACTCTCAATCAATATGTGATTCTTAAGCAGATGATAGAGTTGGAATATACCTCGCATCGATTACCATAATTAACAACAACCTTTCCTCGGGACCTTTACTAAAACTAGCAACATAGATGGCTTTCAAACACTCAACTCACATTTCTCCCATTTCTTAAACTCAGAACTCTACAGAGAACTGCAATAAGATCAATGTTAAAAAAAAAATTATTCATTTCTGTTGAAGTTCCCATTCCCACGCAATTCAGTTTATTGTTTCGCCAGTGGAAGGGAAAAGGGGGCGAGTAAACAAAAGCTCAGGGATCATCGACGCCTCAATGAAATGTTTTTTTCGCAACGAAATTAGTATTCAGTTACCATACGGACAACAAGTTGAAAAAAAAGACAAAATAAAGCATGGACAGAGGCCGGATGCGACCAAAGAAAAATAAAGTGCGAGGCAAGGAGCCTTGGCTCCAACTTGGATCTCGGATCTTGGATCAGCAATCGCCAATCATCATCGCTGGCCATATGCAAAATATGTTTATAAATAAACGACACAGTGAAAAACATATCGTCCCTTCAAATGCAGTTTTACCATGGGAATTCAAATGTTTTTAGTAGTTACAAATTCTTCAAAGGAACAGAAAATGATTTAGGTTTATAAATTATTTATAAGGTATAATAATCATTTTTTATCACAAGGGTAGAAAGTATCATATAATAAAGACAGACTACAAAATATTAAGGTTAAAACCTACAGACTAAAAAAAATACTTAATGCAAAATGTATGCTTGTATGATATAAAGATTTTTATCACTGCAGCGAAACGAAATCGGTTCCGAATTCCAAGGCGAAATCATTAATGGGATGTCACCGGAGAGTGACAGGGCAGAGCACCCCTTTAATGGCAACTAGGTGTCCTCAGCTGGGATTGGAATGGAATCAGTTCGGCAGGGACTGCGACTAGCATTGAGGATTTCAATGGGGATCGGGGATCGGATCGTTTTGGAGATTGGAGCCGCGGGAGCGGGGCTCGGCGACTGGTATTGGATTTCAACATGCAATGCACGCGGCGCGGCATGCGGCTGCATATCTGCAACGCCATCTCTCGGATACCTCGGGGTCCCCCACTCCTCCACTTGCGAACATTCCCCTTCCTCCAGGAACCAACAAGTTGCTTCGCCGCAAGATCCCGCCCGCTGATTGACATGTGATCCTCATCTTCATCGCATCCTCAACAAAGTTTCTATGGCTTGCAAATCTCTGCCCCCTTCTCTTCTGTTTAAAATACACTTTCAAAAATAGTTTGAGTATATATACGGTATTTATATTTAATATGTTTATACTAATTATGCACTATTTCTATGGTTTTTTGCCAATCATGATCTAGTTCGCATATAAATAAATTGCACTTATCTGATAAAAGCGGTTATATATTTTCTGTACCTTTGGAAGCTTTTTTCAGATTCAATGCTGCTCTTAACCTGTTGTTTGTTCTTTGGCGGCTCATTTGTCATTCAGGCGAAACGTAAAGTAAGCCCCATTGCATCTCCTGAAATCTCCCGAAGAAGAAGGCAAATAATCTTGAGACGTCGTTGCCGCTGCAGTCATAAAATTATGATCGGTATTTCTTTGCCTCGGACTTCCCGACGAAATTCGAACTGTGCTGCTGCTTTTTTTGCTAGCATTTTTTAGTTATTTTCGAGTTTAGTTTTTCGACATGGAACATGGATTTCTGTTGTATTCCATGCAACACCTTGTCCCCCAATTTCCAGGAACACATCTCGGGACATTCCTGAAATGCGTTCCGCGGAACTTCGTAAATGGACCGCCGTAACTAAAGGCACGAAGGTCCACGTAAAATAAATAAAAGCTTTTCTTTTCTTTTTTCCATTCCATTCAGTCCTATAAAAACCAAATTCAAAACCGTTTCTAGTGCAGACGAGTCGTTTTTCACAAACAACGACGCGCCCGCTCATTTTCAATGAAAATTTCCACAATTTCCTCAATGGGTTCGCTGTCGGCCTCTCATGTGTGTGTAATATGATCGTGAATTTCTCGCCCAGAAACCCTGCAACTTCGGTTTGAAGTGGGAGAAGAGTCGAGGCGCCTCGAACACCCATAAGTGTTCAAGATGTTGTAGACCCAAATTAAGATACGATTAAGATAAGCTGAGCATAGAAACTTGTTAAAAATAATTTGTTTAATGCATTTATAACTAGTTTTCTATGGGTTCATACCCAAGAGAGTTTATCTTTTTTTTAATAGTAATATGACAAATTAAAAGGCTACAGTTAATATTATAATTTTATTCAAAAACGACTATGAAAGATTTTGTTTTTAAATTATAAAAAATTTTGAATAATTGTTTGTATTTAATCATAAGGAAAAACCCTACAGTGTTTTTATTGGTAACCAATTTACACATGAATAAATTTAATATTCATTCCGTAATTAATCAAGCCCTCGTTTAGCCACTCGCATTGTCTTTTTGCCTTTTCGTGTTGATTGTGGAACCTCCTTTTCCCAAACCACTTTTCATTCATTTTCATGCTCATTCACAAAATATGAGAAAGAAGAAAAACAAACAACTGAGTCACAGAGATCGAGAGAGATTTGAAAACTATTATGCGAGAGCTGATGCTCGTGTTTTCTCAGTTTGCTGAGAAAAGCCGCCGACCAATCGGAAAACCATTTCCCCTTTTCAAAAACCCGAGTGCATTGCATCTTGTAGAGAATATTCTTATTTATTGGAGAGTTTTCAGAAGAGCACTTCGTAAAGCCGGGTCTACAGAGGTGAGTTATTGTGGACTGTATGCCATACAGGGGAAGTTTGGAACCTGTGTATACAGGGCGTATGCGGTTGGATTGGTACACAAGGCGTATGCGATTGGAACCTGTGGATTGGATTTTGTGGAAACAAAACAAAAGTTGAGAGTTCCTGTTTAGCAATCTTGGAGCAAAAACTCAACATAAGGATGCTGAGGTAAGACTTGTGTGGAGGATATGACCACTCTACAAAAGTTGGGAACGGACAGAAACTTTGTTGAGATTCTGTGGATTCAATAAGTTGCTACAGAAATTAATAACAGAAATTGTTTTTTTGTTTGAAATATAATAATTTCACAGCCGGAGAATTTTTACGAATATCCGTAGATAATCATAATAACATATCAGGATTTTTTCATTTCTCTTATGGATACTTATAATATAATACGAATATTAAGTTCATGTTTCCTTCAAAGTGGACTATAAATCTACACTTCCCCTATTTACACTTTCCTTTGGCTAAATTACCAGTCTCATTCGCATGGTGGGCTCTAGTTCTCCTCCTGAAACTAAGTTCCATAGACAAACACCCTTTTTGTGATTCTACACTTTGAAAACTCTACACTTCCCCTCACCAGAAATCCGGTTTCAAGCCGTAGTTAAATCCGATATCCACATTGTGGACTCTCAATTAACACTTTCCCCTCACGCACTCTCTCCCTGTCACTCTTCCACCACCTTTCTCTCTCCAGCCGAGAAAAACCGAGAGTATAGACTCCGCCTATCGGTGCTCTTCGGATCGTTCGGGTGCGGTCCGTTAAGGTTCGGGGTGGCTCTCTCGCGTTTGCTGAAAGAACTCTCCATCAGTTTTTACCCTATTGAGGAAACGTTATTCGGCTTTTAACTGATTGAGAAAACCTTGTCCTGCTAAGCAATTCTTTAAATTATTGTATTAACTAGAAGAAAGTCTTCAACGGACAAAAATCTTTTTTTTTACAACAATAATAGGATTATTGGTTTGCTATTGCTATTCCTTTCGCACCTATTGGAAAACACCCTTTCACTCGCACTCATTGTAGGTGTTCTTTACGGACGGACCGACCCGAAGAGTCTACCTTATATTACTCTGCCATGTCGGGGGTATAAAAGCCAGCCCTCTCAGCGAGAACTACTCATTCGAAAATAAAATTGCCGACCGTTCGCTGCAAAAGATATAGCAATCGCAAACGCAAACGCAGAAAAACACGCTGGATTAAAGTGTTTCGTTTCCACTTCGACAGAGTGAGAAAATAAAGTGAAGTGAGCACAGCAAGCCAAATAACTCGCACAGAATCCAAATCAAAGAAAAAGTAAAGAAAGCCAATATTTAAGAACCTCGCAAGTAATCCGGTACGACCGTGTAACAACCGCCAAGATTCTACTCAAGGAGCGTAAAGCGATCATCTCGAAAATGAAGTCCCTGACGGCCGTTTGCCAGACAGGTGCCTCCGGAATGCCGGCCTTGAATGCCAGCGGGCGCATCTCGCGCCACCCCACGCACCGCGGCGATGGGGAGAACGCCGAGATGAAGATGTACTTGTCCAAGCTCAAGGACCTCGTCCCGTTCATGCCCAAGAACCGCAAGCTCACAAAGCTGGAGATCATCCAGCACGTCATCGACTACATATGCGATCTGCAGACCGAGCTGGAAACGCATCCCGAGATGGGCAACTTTGATGCGGCGGCCGCTTTGACGGCGGTCAACGGACTGCACGAGGACGAGGACAGCGAGATGGAGGATGCGGATGTGGAGGCGGAAGCGGAATCGGATCCGGATGTCCTCGCCCAGCGCTTGGCCGCCGAAACGCCGGCGAAAGTCTCTAGTCCCGCCGCCCGTCTCCCGCTCACCGATCGCCAAACGCCCAACACGCTCGTGGCGCCCGCTCATCAGCAGCAGCAGCAACATCAACTGCAGCAACAGCAGCAACAGCAACTCCAACAGCAATCACAGCAGCAACTGCCCAACAGTTTAGCAACGGTGAGTTACCACATAAATTGTACAAAACAGTGAAATAGGAAGTCGGCAGATGAGCAGCTGCGATCGAAATGCTAATATTAGTTGTAGGAAAACTTGAAAAATATAAAAGTTTTAACAGTTTTTTTTTGTTAAAAAATAAATGTTTTAAAAAGAAAATATTATGCTGTTTAGGTAGTCCCTCGTAAAAACGCGAAAATCACAGTGCAAACTAAAATTTCCTTGGCAAAAAAAAAAGTGTCCATATAATTTTAACCATTTATAACCACTGTTTTTGGGGTTTTTGTTTAGTGCCAGTATTTTGACCGCAGCTGTTTGACATTTGCATTGCAAATATAAAAGACAATTGAGTGTCAAAGTGTTTGGTTTTACTTGTTGTTGTTTTACGAGTGACCTCATTCATAAGGCGATTGACAAATGTTTCGCGTGAGAGTGTTCTTTTTTTTTTTGTAAGGACGAGGCCCATTTCTTTAGCGAATTTTGTAAAATTTCTCTGCTGGGCTTTCGACAACAATAAATCTGCGCCGACCTTCCCCGATTTCGTAGCCCCCGTTCACCCAAAAATTTCATTTCGGTTTTTATAGACATTTCACAGACTGTCTCTGTGCGATTGTATGGGTTTTGCGGTTGTTGTCGCCATCGTTTTCTTTCTTTTGTGTGTTGCCTATACGTAGCTGTTAATTTTTTTTCTCGCGGCCTTTTTCTGTTGTTGTGATGTTTTAAATGAACACCTGCAGATACTTAAATTTATTTCACATACACAGACACACACACGCACATGCGAGCTTGAAAACGGAATTTGAAATTGGGGAATCATCAGTCTTCGTATTTTTATTTTATTTTGCTTTTTGGCTTACTTCATTAGCGCAGCTTCTTTTCTTCTTTTATTTCGGTTATTAATGATGCTGGCAAAAAAATTTGTTTAAGACCTACGTAAAAACAGGTTCAAAAAGCTTTTTTTCAATGGGATTTTCGGACAAATGTTCGACTGGGTGGCCCCAGCAAGTGTTATTAATTTTTATTCGTCGATTGTTGATTAATTATGAAGGTGGAAAACCCTTAATTAAATTTTACGTTGGTGGTCTTCGAACTCGATACTCCTTTCTTGTTCGTTAAGATGTTTTGGTGGGTTTTGAACTTCGTATCCTGCGAATTTGGTGCGTAATGCACTCTGTATTTTTGTTGCAAAACATCTGCAACCCACAAACATATATAATTTTTGTTTGTATGATGTGTCACCACGCCAACAAAAAAAACAACAATCTGAGAATTCTTTCGAAAACACGCACACACACAGGAGAACACATGGGGGCACTCAGAAAACTGTAAAAAGAAATGCACGTGTTCAAAATGTTCTCTCTGTGGGTTGTTTTCTGTTGTTTTTGTTGTTTCTTTTTTCGAATTTTTTTCGCGCAGCTGTGCGCCAGTCGCCAGTCGGTCGCTTTCTACATTGTATTTCCCCCACGGATCCTGCCCCCTTTCAATACCCGCCCCCTCGCAGTAAGAGAGCAAAAGGAGAGAAAGAGAACTTAAGACACTGGGGGAAAACCGCACTAAAAATCCGATATCTTCTGGAAAGTAGGGAACACATATGCTAACCAAGCTGACAAAAACTCCGTTTCGAAATTATGAAGTAATCTAAAAATTAGTACAAACAAAAAAAAGTTATGAAGGATTTATATTCATTTAACTCTTTAAAAATTATTTGAACATTTTGCTCAGTGCCTAAGAACTCAAACAAGTACAAAACAAACCTCAGTGACAGCTCGTTTGATTTTCTTGGCGCCTCTGAATTGCCTCATCCCCTCTTTCCATCGTCATCATCTTCTCATCGAGTGTCCCAAAACAAAACAACAAGCAGCAAACAGCGAATTAATTGATAACATAGAATGGCGAAATGAATATAGCTAATAAACAAATTATTCTCCTTCAATCACACATAAATACTAATTGGAATTTCCCCTATTCTCTCTCATTTTAGCCATCGAATGCGGAGAAAGACAGCAGGCAGTCGTAAGCGTGGAAACGCCCAGCTGGGAAAACCCGTAAAACCTATGAACTTATTAACTAAATGCATAATTAAAGTACAGTCAAAACTCCACTCGCAACCTTCGTGTGAAGATCTCCGCATAAAATAACGTGTGAAAACTCTCAAGAAAACTGCAGCCGAGGCGCATCTCTTCAACTCTCCTTACCCGTGGATTATAATCGGGGAAATCGGAGACTCGCTTTTGGCTCAAAAGAGTTTAGATTAAACATAAAAATAACACAACAACACAAAAACCTAGCATTAGATCATCGTAAGCAAGTAAACATTATGAATATTAATTAAACATTTAAACTAGGATGGCGCTTAAGTATGAATGGAAGAAAACTTGGCAAAGCTTTAAACAATTTAATTTTTCCTTTAACGCTTGAAATTACACTAAAGCATATATTTTTGTTTTCCTAATTTTAGTTTTGTTTTGGTTTAAACAACGCAAGAAAAAATGTTACTAATGCAAAGCAAACAGAGATCAGCAATAAAATAAAAAATATAAATGCACAGGCAACAAAACTGGAATTACGTTTAATTATCGAATTCTGTATTACGATAGTATGATTTCTCTCCAAAAGGTTTTCCTATTAATTTTAATCAATGAAGAACTTTTCCTATTATTGATTAGCCACAGCCAATAATTAACAAGAACAACCAACTCAGCAGCACACACATTCAAATTCATTAATTTATATCGAAAGTACGCTTAGTGTTTAAGATTTGAGAAAGTTCATTTCCAGGCACTAATTTTCGCTTACACACAAAACACACACACCTCATTTTTAGTTTTTCCGAGTCCCTTGGATCGTTTTCCTCTTTTTTTAATCGAATTAACGTATAATGCATAATAATAATTACCCGATATACACTAAAACCTATAAATATACATTAATATATGTTCTGTGATCTGTAGCATACTTTGTACAAAGTGTTTTTAGCATAATTGTGCGATTTTTAATTATGATTTGATCCGCAATCGAAACTAAACATTTTTGTTCTCATTTCGATGGTAAAAACTCTATCATGATGTAAAAGAAAACATTTGATGATGCGAAAAAATATGTCTAAAAAGAAAAAAAAAAACAACATTAGCTCTTAATAAATTGCAAAAATTAAAAAAATATTAAAAATCAAATGCCACAATGGATTTTTATTGAGAGGGGGATTGACGAAATTGCCGAATTTACCAGAAAGGTGGGTAACTACCTGAAAACAAGTAGCCAAAGGAGGCAGGAAAAACTCTAGTGAAAAACCATTTCCCATGTAAACAAGTGCAACGAATTACCAGAACAATACGGTGGATGATAATACCTCCGGAGTTCCATGGACGAGCGAGTTTTCTCACGCAGCCGCCGCCTTTGTCATTAGGGGTTTGGTTTTCCCAGGTAAAATGGCCCTAAGGGCCCCGTGGAAAACTCGACCTGCACACGTGTGCGAATTGTGGACAGAAAATTTCCGTTAAGAAAAAAAAATTCTTCACTTCGGTTTGCTGTTTTCCCGTTTATTTTGTTTTCCTGACCACTTGGGTGTGGATTTAGTTTTGGGTTTTGTGTTTTCGGGTTTTCCCCGCAGCTGTCTGCCCTCCCAGTCCCACAATTCCCTCTATCTGCCTCTCTTTCCCGCTATCTACTGGCCTATTAGCGTTAATGATTGCGACTACAATGCATTGACCAATTGGCAATTGCGACTATATAGTCTCGGGTTTGTTTCGAGATCGGAGCTCGTACTCGGGGCACTCGGTGCCAGCCGCCCCATTCAAATGTCAATTCGGATCGGACCCCAGTGAAACACAAGAGAAACACTTTTAATATGGTAGCTACGGAAAGCTTTTCCTCGCGGGACTCAAATCTGGGATGCTCTACGTAGGGCATTATAATCTGGATACCGGAATAGAGGGTTTTAAATTTAAAAGAAGGCTTAGAAAGTAATGTGGGTTAGTTTAGTACCTTAAACATCTTTTGGTCTAGACTCTGGAGTCTTGTATATGCAACATTTTTTAAATATGTTACTTGACAGATTTTAGCTTCTATTTAATTTATTACATAGCCTTCCGTAATTGAGCAATTAGTTAATCGTAAAAAAGTACCCATTCCATTACCACCAAACCGCATAACTATTTTCTTGTTAGGGTATGCACTGCCGCTCAAAATAAAATCCCAGGCAAATGGAAAATAATAGGAAAATAAACCAAAAACACTGGTGTTCACATGCATTGTCTATGGGGGACATTCATAGTACACTGAGAAAACGGATTTACATACATTTTACTGGGGTTTAATGCTCTTACGTACTTATAATCCTTACAATTTAAATGCCATACTCGATAAAATTCGTTTGATGACAGTTCCTTTTTTTTAAATCTTTTTTCTATAGAAAATATTAAAATATGTGATTTTTTCCTGTGCATAAGTGCGTTTTATTTAGCGTCGCCCGTTCTGGGGGCCAATGATCTCTGATTCCGGACCAAACTCTGGTATGCGCTAATTGTTTGCAGAGCTTTGGGGTCTGAGGTCCGGGGGCTTTGGGGGGTTTCGGGGGAGAGCCGCTGGCCAGGTACAATTAGTGCGCTCACCTTAGTCGCTGTTGCTCAGTCGCAAGTCTCGGGTTTTCTCTCATGTAATGATTTTTTTGGGTGCGACTGTGCTGAGACGAGAAATCAGTGAAACTTGAATTACCATAAAAACTCGTGTAGCAGTCAACAGCTGCGGCAACTGCGCGATTGCGAATGCCGTCGCCTCGGCTCAGCCTTCCAATGGCCGTGCCGGAAAATTTTGACATAATAATTGTCAAGCTGACATTTCCAACCACGCAGCTGACAGCTGAGCCTGAACCAGCCGAGCTCCCGAGTGTTAAACGAACCCCGGTCGATAGCTGGCGAACTCCCAGCTTAACCCCTTGAGATCCCGCGGGGATTACGGGAAGGATTACAGAATTTATCACATAATATCCCATCTTGACTCTATGAATTTTGGCTTTTAAAAGTCAAGAGTATTAAAAATTGTAAATTTTTTCGAACTTTCAATGCTTCTTGATACTTTTTATCTTTTAGGGGAAGTTCTGAAAACCTTTTTAAAATATACCCATCAAATATAGTATTTTGAAAAATTATATAAACACAAGCTTATAAAAATAAATAGGTCTGGTTTGTTTTTTTATTTGGCAAATGAAGTAAAATGTTCCTAATACCTAATTAGGGTTTTTAATTTCTGAGCACGTTCAGTAAATATGTGGCTGTTGGTTCACCATTATGACTTTTAAAATAGAAGAGATTAAATAAATAATAAAACCTGAGTCACGCGACAATGCGTTGAATATGAAAAGGTAGTATTGTAGGCCACACATTTGCATAGGGTTAAGTGTCTTTTTCCAGCTTTAACTGAGGTCTCCGGAACGAAAGCTAAACCACAATCAACAACGCCGACGACTTCGGCGAGGTGCGCATAAAAATCGCATTTAATTGTGATTTTCACACGAAATACAATGCGCATGAGCAACTGGCGCCGCTGGTTAACTCGAGGGGATGGATGGAGGGGTTCCATAAAGGGGAAGGCGGCATTACTTGATGGCAATTTGTGTAACTAGCGGTAAAGCGTAACTACTAAACAGTCCGCGACCGCTTCAGTTGTTGTTGCTTTTGCTATTGGTGGATTGGTGGTGGCTTTTGGGAAACACCTGCAAAACGCCAAGCCAAACGCACCTGTTTCGCTAACAACAACCGGCAAACGAAAACTAAAACAAAGTCAAGACACCAACGCCAGCAAAATAAAGGCAGCACACAAATGCACAAAAGCAGCGCACGGACACGGCTCAGCAACTTTCGTGGGTTAAGCCGGCCGGGGTGGGGCAACAAGGGGTTAAGGGGAACCGAAACGCCTGACTTTAGTGTAATTGAGGCGACCATCTGTCTTTGCGGCGGGGTAAAAGCGGAAAAACTGGGTGAGAGTTCCATGCGAATTAGGAAATCGAAACCGAGTCGATGTTCGACTTGCAAAGTCTGACTGGAAAACATATGTAAACGCACAGCTGCGGGCAACAAAGTAGCATAGACACCTCAGTATATTGTCTTGCAAATATAAAAGATTCTTATCAAAATGGCTTTATAAGATGCTGATCTTCTGTATTCCAGTATATCAAATTTTTACAATTCCAATAATGTTGTTGTCGCCAACTTGTTTACCTGATTAGTTTGGCTGGCTATCAACACAGGTGCACAAATCGGAAGCTAAAACTGCGACCATCGACCACCACAACTGAAACGAACTCCATCAGCTGGCGGAAGTTGTCCAGAAGGCGAACGGCAGCTGACGATCGGGAAAGGCTCAAAGTGGGAGATCCAGGGGCTTGGGCAGCATTGATTTCAGCTGCGTCACCCAGCCATTGTGGCTCTGTCATGGGTGGCGGTGGTGCAGAAAAGGGGTGGTGCTGCTGCTGCTGTGGTTCAGTGGCCGCCACATGTTGGCCTAATGACAGCTCTGGCTGGCGAGACTCAGTTGCGGATTTCAGCTTTTCGGCCAACAATGGCGATGACAATGGTCGAGAGGTGCGGCTGCTGCAGTTGCGATTTCTGCCCAAGTTGCTGCCGCAGTTGCATTTCCAGTTGCAGTTGCATTTGCAGTTGCTGCCGCCTGACATTTGATCGAAAGACCGCCGCTGCCGCAGAAGCCGAGGGGTCACAAACCCACCGCCGCCATCGATGACGAACTGCGGCGAGTGTCAAGCCGTAAATTAAATAAAATTATGCACAATTCCTTATCGCCAATTGAATTGTTGCTATTCAATTTTTTCCCTCTGCCTCGAGGCTCTGACTAATGCGCCACCCGAGTTGCCGAGATTGATATGCGATGGGGAACACGGCAACGCTTAGTGGCAACTGCCAACAGCAACTTGCGGCAGCCACAACAGCAATATCAAAGACCACCAGCAGCAGCTGCAAAGCATTAAAAATCCAGTGGACAGAAGTTATAAACACTCTACAAATTTACAATTTAATAATAATAAGGATTTATTCATAGGAACCTGTTTTCAAGTTAGTTTAAATCTTCACTGATTAAGTTTACTGTTGATATTGATTTTTAGTAAATTTCTATTAATTTTAATTATATTGCTGATGATTGTTTGCATTGTTTGCTTTTATTTGGTTACCCAAAAATAAATTCTTTTGGTCCCGCAGGATTCTAATAACAACATCCATACCCCTCGACAGCGAATAACAAGAGCCGAAAATCCGACATTGATAAATGCCATCCCACGCCTCGCCTGTGTTTTGGCCAAATAAAAAAATAGCAAATAAATACTGACCGGGCTCCTGCCGTTGCAGTTGGTTATTTCATTCATTTTCATTTCGTTTTGCTAATTGATTCATTGATCTTGGCGATATCGCTCCCCGGTGACCAGAGCTTAGCCCCTTAGTTTCCCCCGATCCCGATCCTGCTGCAGATCGTAACATAATTCTTTTGCCGAGCTGCGGGTCCGGAGACTCGCATTCATTTGCACGCCTGTCCACTTGGCCGTCAATTGTGCACAAAGACATTATTAGCCGTCTAGGAATTCAATTCCATTTCCATTGTCGGCCTGCCCAACTGGCTTTTTGAGGCTTTTCACGGGGGCTTGGCCGGGCTGTTTTTCTTTGCCTTTTTTTTTTTTTTTGTGTTGTGTTGCTGTTGTAGCTGCAATTTGTTAAATTGACAAAAACTTTTTGCGATAAACTTGGCGCGTTATTAAATTCAATAAATTTTGCTCTTGCTCCGCAGGCTTTTGGTTTTATTTTCCGTTATCGGACGGCGAGATCAGCAAATACAAATTCTGTTTAAGATATGGAAACAGAATCGATCGATTTGGCCAGGTTAATTGCCAGTCAAATGGGCGTGGCCATCAGATATTCGATATGCGATTCTTATCTGTCACCGCTGAGGCGAATTAAATTTGCAATCAATGAAACCCAGCCAGCTTGTCACAAATGCCACAAGTCTCTTCCTCTATTGGCAGAAAGCCCCCGAAACACAAAGGCTGCCGCCAGCTCCAAAGTCGCCAAAGACTCCAAAGAGACTCCAGGCCGGGACTTCAAGCTCCGGCCAACTTCCGTCGCACATTTGCCATTTGTCATGCCATGTCAGAGCGGAGCTGCGGTCCAAAGAT